TAATGGAGAGTCCAATCCTTCAGAATTTTAATTTAGCGTTACAAAATTTGTAAGATATTTCTTTTATTAGGCTGGAAACTAAGTTTTGCAACTGGTTTCATAACTTCACTCTCTTTAGATATGGCGCACTCAAACTTTGACATTATGTAGAAGGCAATGTGAGCTACAAGTGAGCACAAATTGTCTAAAATTGAACACGAAATGGAAAAGTTACGGATGTTTTTCGAAAACTAGTAAAATTTGAGAATTTTTGGAGTTTTAAGCTAAAATGAAGCCTTTGGCAGCCTAGACCATGCGCAGTAATCTGTATTTGTCTACAAATTATTGCTGGAGGTTGGCTCCTTTGGCCTATTAAGAAAGAAACAAAATTTAATGACTTGTCGAGATTTGGCGTCCTCACAAAGTCGAACGAGTCGATGTACGCAAGAGCTGCTGGGGACGACCGTCAATGACTAAAGAGTCCGAAGCTCAAATTCCGCCGAAACTTTACTTAGTAAGGTTATTTGACCTGCCGAACGCGAATATCATATTCATTTGTTGAATCAACGCCTTTTTCCTTGTTTAGGGTGAGACCCCATATCGTACACCTACAGTAATCCTACAAAAAAGTCCTTATCACGCAATTTCACTATCGCTTTCGTGATCAGCATGTCGGATAACATCCCTATGCCAAGTTTCAGCCAAATCCGTCAAACTTTGAATTTTCCCCCTTCATACCATACACCTACCGTAACCCTCACTGCGACGTCAGAATTTGGTAGGACGGCAACTGCGCTTGTAGCTTACGTAATAACAAACGCAGTGGCAAAATTTGAGTGCGCCATGTTGAGTGAGAGGGAAGTTATGAGACCAGTTGCAAAACTTAGTTTCCAACCTATTATATCCCACCCCCATCCCGAAAATCATCTCACGACCGCTACTGTGTACGATGTTCTCAGAAATCGCTGAAATTCACCATAGAAGAAGGGAGACGTTACTTGATATACATTACGATATCTATGCAGGGCTACGGTAACATGTAGTGGAGTGATCATGGTAGATGTACGGTACGGAGTCTTTTTTTTTTGAAAATGCAGTAAGCTTTATGTTCGATATGTGGAAAATGTGAACAGCGAGCAGCATGTCCAACATGCATGCAGTTTCAGTATGTCTTAAGACGTACACCTACCGTAGCTCCAGAAAAACGACTCTTCACATGATATCACTAGACTTCAGAGCATATTGATTAGCCTCTATGAGCAAAGCTTTAGGAAAGTATAGGTTTCGTAACTATGAGTTTTGTGGCAGAGCGCTGGTGAACGCCAATAATAGTTACTCTTTGATTCAACGAGATTGGCGGCTGGAAGACGACGACCGCTCGCACCCGCGATGCATTTTGCGTATCTCTCGCGAACGTGCTCCGTGATCATTCTCTAGTTTTAATTAGATCGCGAAGCTCCGCCTTCCAGTCTCCAAGCCAGTTGAATCAAACGGTATGTGGTCTGCACAGAAAAATTTAGTAAGTAATAATAATACCAATAAAAAAAGTAGTCAGGTGAATGAGGTACCTGAGGTGCTTACGTGGATAATTGAAGGGCCTCGAGCCATTGCCCAAAGAGGAAGCTCGTACAGTTCATTGATGTCGAGAAGTTTGACTCCGAACTTCAGCCCAGACCGTACCCTGTACCTTACTCGAGGATGCTAAGTCCAAAGAAAAGTACGATCTGGACTAGAGTTCGAAGATAGATTTAATGCGCAAGTTTGAGTCTGAGGTGGCGGTTGGGATGCTTAGGCAAGGTAGAAGACGTTTGTCGACAAAAGAGGGGCGGACAACTCCAACAAGCCACGCAACGCTTTGCATCACAGCCTGGTGCTAGACGTCCGCGTAGCCTCCACTCTCTTGTAATTAGTTCAGGCTTCTCAATCAGTGCTGTCACTGTCTTTTCTTTCACCTCTAACGCCGTAAAATTCTACCACTCCGGAAAAGAAAGAACCTATCTTGCGTTGTAAACATACTTATCGATCCATTCAACTCTACCTCTGCTGATTTGCGTTTTCACCCCGAGCTGCACCGGGATTATGTACAAGTGTCAGTAGCGCGGACTACTGAACAAACAAGCTTTCGATGTCAAAATCATGTGTCACTGCGGGCGACATACCCGTCTGGATGGCAGTACTCAGTATCTGATTATTTTTTTTTTGATATGTGTAGTCACACCCTAAACAACTGTTTCTCTTATAGACTAAAAATTGGCAGGAATGACGCCCAATTTTCACGAAATTCTTGACTGATCCACCGGAATATCGCTGGATAAGCGCGTTAGCTGCTTTGTGCAAATATTGATCTTATTCTTCGAGACAGTATGTTTTTCCCACCGACTTTTTGAAATAGAACCCTTGCGTCTTCTTGTGACACCGCATTCGCAGAATACACGGTTGTTTACGCTTGGAAAGACAGCGTGCACTAATCCAGTTTGTTTGATCGAGACGGCATTTTCATTTCGGATTAGTATGAAGCATGTATCGACTCAAGTCTGCAGAATTTTGCGCAAAGTGCATGCTAACTCATCTATAATGTTTTTCTGAGCCATGGTATCTCCTTATTCACAATTTCTACGGTCGACTGTATATTTATTCAAAATTCAACATGCTGACTACTACCGCCAAATATCGACCGCTCGAAATGTGTTTAGTTGCACAGTCCTCATTTCATTCTATTTTTTTATCACTTTTAAATTTAAAGAAAAAGCAAAATGATCTAAATCCATTTGGTTTTATCTTCAGGGCCCCATAAGTTCTGTCCGTTCCAATTTTCAGTCGCAATACTTCATGAACTTTTTATTTCTAGAAAGCTTTCAAGGTGCCTTTTGATAGAGCATAGCAAGCTCTACTAGATGGTGCCTCTACCATCATTCAATTTCATCTCGAGTCTGAAGCCAAAAACTAAAAAGATCCAACCGCCCGCAAAATAAAAAAATCATAACTCCGTCCGAAAATATTCTAAAAAATTCTTAACTAAAACGAATATTTCCCGAAAACTAAAGCTTGTAGATAGCTGCAAGTTAGGAATTTCCTAGGATTTTTTTGGGCGGAGTTAGATTTTTTTATGTTTCCGGCGGTTGGGTTCCTTATTTTTGTTTTCAAACTCAAGATGATTTTGAACTGGTGCGAAAGCAAGAACATTACCTAGCAGAGCTTGCTATGCTCATCAAATAGTACCTTGAAACCTGTCTAGAAGAAGTTTATGACTTATTGCGAGTGAAAGTTGAAAAGGACGGAACTTATGGGACAATCTAATATGTTCCCGGACAGTTTCTGCTGCACTTATTATTCATATCGAAAATGTAGAGGCTTTGTGAGAATCTCAAACTTGCTCTTTTCCGGGGATTACATTGTTTTCTTCTCCTGTCTTTTTTCCTTCTATAATTTTTACAATCATGCCTAAAAATTTTCATCTTATCCGCAAAAATTTCTTCTATTCCGTTCAAGTGAGAACACCTTTTAGACTAAAATTCCCTCTTTTCTGTACAAGTTATATTTCGCATTTTAAGCTATTTTTTGGAGAAGGAAAACATAGCATGCGCAAAAGAAAACGATAATAAATGGATCAACCAATCACGTTCGACTCTTCGCCATGTATCGTAATTAGTTTTGGATTGTTTTGCTTAAAAGCTTACACTCAGGCACCGATTTGAATTTGAGGCTAAGAACGGAGTCATCCTGACCGATTTTTACAAAATACAATAGCACAACTAATAACTTCCATGTTCCGTAGTCATTAAACCTGGCATGTTCGTAAGTGTCGAATATTGTTGTGCCGAACAGCTTGTTAGGTGGTCCTTTGGCCTTACGTTTCGAAGCTTTCGTCTTCATCAGAGGCCAGGGAACCACCGCTTCGTTAGATGTCCGTATCGGATGTAGGTGTTCGCGACGGACGACTCTTACAACTACTGCTGTGGACGGTTTACTGCTGGTAAAGCAGGGTGGTCCAAGGAATTCTGAGGGGAGCTGCGACAAAAAGCTGAACGCGTGTCAGCAACACCGATAGATTTATCTTGCAGCGTTCCTCGATTTCTTTGTAATTTTTTGATCCATTAACGAGGTGCCATAACGGCAGCAATCTTCCTATCAAAAATTCTAGCCAGTTTAAAAAACTTTTGAAACCACCATCAAGGTGATTCGTAAACTTTATTACACTTTCTTCTCGCCTTCTAAACGACCATATCTGGCAAATAGAGAATGGGAGCAGGGCTACTCAATGGCATCATTTTCGCCTTCGCGGACATACAGTAAATATATGTAACCTTCAACTCAACTGGCTTGGGGGCTAGGAGGCGGGGCTTTGTGACCTGAATAAGGCCGCTCTCGCCACGACACAGTCTGCGTCTCTCTCGCGCGCATACCCTCGGATACCCATTATCTAACCTAAATCAGGTCACGAAGCCCTGCCTTCCAGCCGCCAAGCCATTTGAGTCAAAGGGTAAATGCGATTATTTTAAGGCGCTTTGACCTCAATTTATTTTTTTTATCCAAAAATTTTTTTTCTTTCTCTTTCTTTCGAATTTTTACGCACTTTTGAGTGCACCATTAATAACAAAAAAGCAGTTAGGGTTTCCTTTTTGATAATCCAATTCGGAATTTTGCCAAAAAATCGGAAAATTTCCAGATTAAAAATTATACTGTCATGTGACTTGCGATATTCTACAATTCTTAAAAGAGGAAAATTTTTGAGAAAAGAAGAAGGCATTTACATAGTTTATAATGAAGACTACTAAAATTCAACAACATCACAAGGAGCCTTAGTCTCTTTATTGCAACCTTTACGAAATTGATTCGTTTATGATAGTTTCATTCTGCATTTGAAGAAACGAAGTAAACAAGGATGAGAATTCATTTTTTGAAGTGACGAAACCCATCGTCTCATTGCAAGCACTCTTAATCCTGTCAGCTGCCATCCTTCCATTTCCGCAACTTCTATTTCCGTTTTCCTAGCTTTCCGAGTTTCTAAACATTCTCCTTTTCTGGTCTAGGTAGAGCGTGCGCATGGAACGCATGCGTACATTGGATCGTGTTGTCGAGACACGTATAGATCTTCTGGAATGGGAGTCACCGACTCCGAAAGAGGACTGTGCCGCATGTCGCGCCCTCGACTGCGACATCATCTTTGCCCTGTTGTTCACCATGGTGATCGCCTGTTTGCTAGTCCTTATTATGGTATTTTGGCTGAAAGGAGTACTACAGTACGAGGAGTAAGTAATTCTTCCATAAATGAGCTTAAAATTCAAAAAATATAAAAAATTGGGAAAAATATAAAAAATCGGTAGAGAAATAGGACCCAGCGACCCGAATACCATCCAGCGGAAAGCGCGCACGTGATTGCGCTGCATTTGTAACAGTTGTCCGATTCCGTTCAGAATGCGATCGAGTGTTCGACGAGAAGAATCCAAATGGTGAATTTCAATTTCCGCTCTTACCAAAGGAGCCTACGGATAATACTATAGAGAAAAATATTACATTGCCAAGGAATTTGCAGGTAAGAAACTTCAGGCCGAGAAACAGCTGAGTCTGTCAGAAGATCACGTGTGTAAACCAAAAATCAATATATCGATTGATCAAAGAATTTTATGATTAATCACATGAATAAGTATTATATAGATTCAAATCCTGGATGAAAGCGATGGCTTTTGCTTGTAAGCGCGCGACAGCAAGCTTCAGCACTGGAGTGGGCGGAGCTTCATTAGACTACGCGACGCGCTCGCATGCGCTTCGTTTTTAGGACATCCGCCTTCGTCCGAGAATGGACTATAGTTATTTATGTTTTCAGTGTGTATACACGTTTGTCGCGGGACCGAGGCAACGCGTAAAATTAGAATTTGAACATTTTCATCTCGCTGGCAGTTCCGAGAGGTGAGGGACCAGTTCTCGTTTTCAGCCTATTTTGATAGTCGCTTTTAGCTGCGAGATTGAATATGTAGACATTTACTCGGAACTTGAACGGGTTGAATCCGATCTGCTATCCGCATCATTAGGAGGCAGATATTGTGGTACCGTATCACCTCATGTTAGAATAAGGTACGGTAGATATACGGTAGCCATGACCAGCTAATTTTTCGTTGTTTATAGCCTTCATCGTGTGCTAGTGCTCGTATTTCATTCCCGTGCTAGAGAAGTCGACCGACAATTTGGTTTTCGTGGTCGATACTCATTCATTCCAGACAGTAAGTGGTCGATACTACGAAAAATGTGGTCAATCGATAATCGATTTTTGCAGCAAAATACCAAGCTGGCGTACCGCTTGATGGTGAAGATGGTTGTAGTTTCTTAATTGAAGCCTCTAAGCGCAAGAAAGGCGCTATTTTCTCTCCTACATATCCTGGCACCTATCCAAAAGTACAATATTCTTGTTGTATATACCTTACTGATATCTATATTTCTTCTAGAACTTTCACTGCTCATATTTGCTCAAAGGAAAAGCCGGTCAACGTATTCGTCTGTTCTTTCGCGATTTCGATATTTACTTTGGTGGCGAGCAGTGAGTATTTTGACTTTCAATCAATATCTTGCGTAGTATTGATTTTTTCTGTTCTAGTTGCCCTTATGATTCTGTTACAATATTCGATGGTCCCAGTACAAGCTCACCAATTATCAAAAAGGTGAGTGTCTCAAATTTGCGCATTTCTTGAAAGGAATTCAAACTTATCTCTAAATAAAAAAGTATGAAATGCAGGGGCAAATTTTGAAAAGAACCTACCCGTAAATTGAATGGGATTTTGGTAATGGCCCCTTTGTACCATAGTCAGAGGCAAAATTTGACCGAATACTTTAAGCCCGTGTATCTCATGTCGCAACTGAATGGAAATCCTTCACCGAGCCATTGCTCTAGCCGAGCTTTCATGGGTTATTCGTGAATGGAAAACTTGAACCTAGGCACTCGGCCCAGTACCGTACCTTTTTTGAGCGAACCAACCACTAAGATACGGTACTGAACTAGAGTTTAGAGCTGGCTTTATCGGCTACAATAAATCATATGAGGTTACCGCTTGACCATAGCTCAGTCAAACCTTCACAATCATTGCTAGTGGCGGACCTAGGAGGGGGCCGGGAAGGGGGAGGGAGAGATATCGAAAGCTCGAAATTTTCGAAGGTAGCTAATTGCCACTCCCCCTTTTTAAAAGAGGAATCACGGGCCTACAAGAATCCAAAAAGAACATTTTAAAATATATTCCGGAGGGAGCAGTTGACGCTGCGCTTGCCGTTTCCTCACCCGAAAATAATTCTCGGATGGTATGCGCATAAGAAGCCCGTGCGCAAATTTCCTGGACTGCCTTCAAGTGACCAAAAAAGTAAATAAAACAGAAGTTTTATTGACGGGGCTCAATTTTTTCCGCCTTTGTTTTTAGAGCAGCAGAGTACATTATCGCTTTTTTTATAAGTCAAAGGAGCGTTATATGTGTGCAAAAGGACCGCAAAGCTGCGAAATTAGTGTATGACCCCATATTCCAGGATTCGCAATATCAAATGTTCTAGGTATGCGGTCTACAACAACGAACCGAATTGTATACTGTTGGCCCAGAAGCCCTCATTCACTTCAACACTACCAACCCAGCCAAAGCCGATCCTCGAGGGTAAAATTGCAGCAATATTGATTAGTTTATCGATTAATTGATCAAGTCCAGATTTGTTGTGGAGTACGAATTTTCGACAAGATTTGTCGATGTAGCACAATTATTGCATGGACAAAAAGGTGTTACACATATGCGAGGCACAGAATGTGACATCAGAGTGGAAAGCAATCGAGAAACTACACATTACATTTATTCACCAAAGGTGGGTCCTGAAGCGAATTACGGCCAGCGTACTGTAGCTGCATGATTCTGGGCTTTTTGGAATGTTCCATCCTTTTTAGAGTAGCATAACTTTACAGTAAACTTTGCTCTTGATAAACCAATAAGAATTTCTAGGTTACCGTAATCCTTTACAGTTTCCCGACCTGTACCCTCCTAACACCACTTGTACCTATATACTCGATGGTCTACAAGGTGATCAAAATCTGGAAAAAGTCATTCTCACATTCGAGGAATTTGCTGTGCTTTCCGACGATGATAGGTAATTCTTGCCTCCATAACCTCCGAAGCACTTACATTACCTTTACAGTACCGTCATAACCGAACCTCCAAGTTTGGACGATATCACTTGCCCCGTAGCTTGGGTAGGTGTGGCTACATCGGATGCGACAATGAAAGCAACACTTTCATCGACTGACGAGAGCAATTATGAGTCGACCCTGTGCGAAAGGATACCAGCATGTAAGGAAATCAAAAATTTGATCTTTATAACTGAGAAAGTACCGTTTAGCATCTCCTTTGATGGGCCCATATGTGAGCGAAGGCCCTCGAATGGTGGTCCAATTTGGCACGACCGATAAACTTGTCACTGATGGGCTTCGTCCTAATGGATTCAAGGCAAAAGTGGAGTTCAAAACAGGTAAACCTGAAATCTTATTCCACAGATTCGACTTTGTCGTGAATGGAAATTGAGTCAATAAAGATAGTTGACTGTAGATAGGAATCTTCATATGAATGCAATTAGGAGAAATATTTGTTCGTGGAAGAGACTGATGTCATTTTGAAATTTGCACCCAAGAAAACCAGAAATTTTGAATCGGTAGCGAATATCTTCCTCAGTTGACTCTAAAATTTATTCACAACAAAAATGGTAAAATCTCAGAGAAAAATTCGGAAAAAAGACCAACCTAACTGCCTCGGGACATAAAATGAAAGATCAAAGATCAACGTGATCATTTTTTGACTTTTTGAAATGTCAAGCAATTCAAATAGTGACTAGGGGCATAATTACAAGTGTTCCAGACTTTGGTGTTACTGGTGAGTCGATCGGCACTTCAAACGAATGTCTCTTTCGATTCCGAAGTCCAATGGGATTTTTCAATAGCCCACGATATCCAGCAAATGTAAGTTTTAATAATATGTACCTATTATAATTTCTGGAGTATTCCCGTGTTTAGCTCTACAACAAGTAAGGCATTTTAGTATCCACTCGACACAAATTGCACATACTTCATCGAGGGTAATCCTGGACAGCAAATTCTGATCCATTTCGAACAGTTTGCGTTGTATGTTGGAAAGGAGGAGGAGGACAGGTAAGCCCACAACTGCTCAATGTGGAAGAGTGTGGGAAACAAATGGGGGAAGAACAAAAAATGAAGTGCAGTAATATTAGCTTGTCCGGAAAATAATGCCGCATCGTGTTTTATCCTGCAATATCGCAGCAGGGTGCGCACAAAAGTAGATAAGTGACTGGGATATCAACCGATAGATCACAGCAAGCTCTACAAAATGAAGCTCGAACCTTTGCGCCAGGTTTGATATGGGTGAAGTTTGGGTCCAAATTTCATAAGGCACTAAAGATCTAAAAAAACAAGAAAAAAACCGTATCTCCGTTTAGAAAAGTCCTAGTAACCCCTAACTTGCTCACGCATGGACTCACTATACGAGACACTTGTATGCACATTTTCGCGGTTTTTCCATGGCTGAAAATTGAGGAAACAAAATTCGGCATGTTTTTGCCAAAGCGTTCCTGAGCTTCTCTCACAGGGGTGATTCCGTAGTATAAACCTTTAGGAGTATAACCATGAATTTTCAGCTTTAGACAAGCGCTAGTTTTCGAGAAAAAACAAATTGTTTGCAAAAAACCCGAAAAACGCCACATATTCGCAATTTTGACCTATTTTTGTTTGTCGTACTGTAGCCATGAAGAAATTCCACAAACTATACAGGTGAATGTCCAGTGTGGAGAGTACATGCCTGTGCAAATTAGAGATCCCTAAGACGTCTATGCACTGAGATACGATTATTTGGGCATCTGAAATTTCTTATATTTTTCGAACTTTAGATGGGGCAAGACTTTCACGGAGCTTTGTAGACTACCTTGCAGTGCTTGCTTTGCTCTATCAAGTGATACCCCATTCGCTGTTTTTTTGTGGTCATTCTGTCGCGGTAAGATGCCATGCGACATTATTTTCCGGACAACCTAATACAATAGCTTTTGATTTATCGTATGGGTCAAGAGGTATCGTACGGCTTGCTTCTTATTGGAGCTCCTCAAAATGTATAAACATGTGCTTTTTCATGACCCCCCCCTCTCCAAAGAAACGTCTACCTTTATTTGACTTGTCCTCCATTTTCTGTTGTAAAAAAATTGACTGACCTTTGGCCTGAGAGCAGATTGTTTGGTTGTCAAAATTGGAACATTTCTGGTTGAAAAAATGGATTTTTCTAGATGCAAAGATTGGCTGGAAATCTACGATGTTTTTCAAGACGGCGGTGAAGAACGACTAGTGCTTCAAGGTTTGAGAAATTTACCAAAAATATACTTGTAGTTTACTTTCAAGTCTTTTACTTTAGAACGCTATTGTTCGGACACACTTCCTGGCCCTACCGTATCGGCTTTCGGCGCCTATTCGATGCGCGTTGTGTTCAGCTCGGACTCGAAAGGAAGTGGAAATGGATTTAAAGCTTTGTATGAAATACGCCCAGCTGCGAAAGAAGATATTCCAACGCATGGTAGATTTTGAAGTTTTCTTTCTTGCGCAAGAAAAAAATTTCGTTTCCAGAAACAAAAGAAACCCGAGGTGATGGAGCGTATCGATGTGGTAGAAGAATTCGTGCTAGTGAGACGACTCCCACCGGATACGTGATGTCTCCCAATTATCCGGTTAAGTATAATAAGGATGTTCATTGCGATTGGGAGATTATAGCTAGGGATGGATACAAGGTCTGTTCTTAAGGAAAGGACTAATAATGCCAAAAAATTCTAACTTTCTAGATTCTCCTCACTATGGTCAAGATGGAAATCGAAGGTGAAGTGACTGCAAATAAAGCGCATTGTCAGAAGGTATGTTACTTTTTTGAAAGACACTTTGTGAGCAATCTATATGCCTGAGTTTTTCATAAAGAAAGCTAACTGGAGGCTTTAACACGTTGACGACAGTGCCGCGCAATGGTGCGCGGCAGGCAGTCTGTCCCTGTGGACGACGCCGCGCAATGGTGCTCCGCGGCCTTAATTTCAATACTATCTGTCAATCCTCAGTTTTTGTTCATGTAATCAACATAGGCTCGAAGTACTTCTTCATGTATTAGGCAAACTCCGCCCATTCCCATGCTTTTCGGGACTCTTTTGGTTTATAAAAGCATAGATGAAGCCGCAGATGAAGCAAGGGACATCAAGCAGCTTCTAGCAAGGCCCCGCCCACCGTCAGGCAAACTCCGCCCTCTCAGTGGGTTCCGCCCTTTTCTCAAAAGTGGCGGAACTCGCATGAATTCTCGAAATTTGGGCTTTCGACATTTTTGGCCGAGTGAGCGGAGCTTGCCACATGGGGCGGCCTTGCACATTTTAAATTCCGTGCATGGATGCATGCATACATACATGCTGCCACGCGTAAGGATGCACGGAAATGTCTCGTCCACAGGGGCAGACCTCAAAAAAACTGCGGGGGGGGGGGGGGTAAAAAGGTAAAAGGAGGAACTGTGCTATCCTTCTAGGTCTAACTGTGACCCAAAGGCCCTCTTTAGGGCTACGGATACGATGAATACAGTATCATAAATGTTTAAAATAAACATGTTTAGTAAATGGTGTGTTTTGAAGTGAAACTCAGCGAGACTTCACAGATTTTATTAAGTAAGTTTTGTTATAATGTACTGCGAAGAAAGTAGGTCGATCCAGGCAGTAACCGCCGAGAACCAGAATTTCGAATGATAAAATTACGAAAAATCATGCGAGATTTCCACTGTTCTAAATCTGATGTTTGAAGATGTCAGCAAGTGCGACTTCATAGCTTTTGAAGAGTAAATGGTGCTCTATCGGATATTGAAGAAATCGAGCCGATTTGAGAGAGTCTCCTACGACTTATGCCCGTGGGGGGAGACTTTTCATCACAAATTCTCCCCCCCACCCCCCCCCCCCCAGCCCATTTTATATTGGATGGAGGCCGTCAGGGAGGGGAGAATTTGTGATGAGAAGTCTCTCCCCACGGGCATAAGTCGTAGGAGGCCCTAAACCCTTACATATCATATACCATATGAAAGCTCTTGATGAGAGGAACCTAACTATGAAGTCGCAACATGATTCATGCAGTTCTGAAGAAGTTATAGACTGTTGAAGTTCAATAAGCGCTTTTTTACCTGCTTCCCTGGATCTCGGCGCTGTCAATGGATTGGTACGGTTAAAATATATTCTGATAAGGCAATCCTTTCTACAAAACCTATGAAGTCGCAACATCACACTCTTTCACATTCAAGATTTAAATGAGTTTAACTGTCAGCTGTCACTAAACACGCTAAAATGGCGTAATATTTTAGATTCTGGTTTTCGGCGACTATCTCTCAAGTCGACTCGATTTTTTCACTATCTGATAGAGCACCATTTACTCTTCAAAAGCTATGAAGTCGCAATTGCTGACATCTTTAAACATCAGATTTATAACAGTGGAAAGCTCGCATAATTTTTCGTTATTTTATCATTCGAAATTCTAATTCTCGGCGGTTATTCCCTGAATCGACCTATTTTCTTCGCTGTACGTTATAACAAAATTAACTTAATAAAATCCGTGCAGTCCCGCTGACTTTTACTTTTAAATACTCCATTTACTTAACACGTTCACTTTGAATATACAGGGTGTCCCAAAAAAATGTGCCTACTGTTGCATTGTAAATAACTCTCTTGTAACGAAGTGTTTCGAGATGTTTTAGGTACCGTTTCGTAGAGCGAGCTTAAACTTGATTAGTATGGAGCGGTATGGAGCGATTCATCTATCTCTCTTCATTACTGTAGGATTACGGTAGGAACTTCGACAAAGATTTTGGGCCTTTGGAGGCTATACTCTGTTTCGGAACGAAACCGAACAAGCCAAAAACTCTTACACCACGGTATTGGGAGCCGCTGATTTCGAATTTGAAATTCCCATTTTGCAGTGATGCTTCTTTCCTAAGTTATCCCCGGTAAGTCGTAATAACTCAATTTCCAGCATTTGTCATAAATGTAATTACACCGTCAAAAAAGCTGAAAACACTCATAAAAAGTTGTTAGGTGGAATTGGCATGCGCGAAAACCCTAGTACACGATTTTTCAAATTTTCTGAAAAAAATTTTGTTAGGTGGTATATTTCACAATGGTTCCATATGCTGAGTTCTCACCGTAATTCTACAGTAATGACGAGCAATCGATAATTCACTCCATACTGCAAATCTAAGCTTGAGCTCGCTCTACAAGACGGTACCTAAAGCACCTCGAAACACTTCGTTACAAGAGAGTTATTTACAATCAAACAGTAGGCACATTTTTTGGGATACCCTGTATATGCCGCCGTATACATGAAAATATGCTTTTAATATCCTAAAATCCCGCCAATAAGTCCGGCCTTATCTATTTTTTGACACAAAATTGATTAAGAAAATCGCCCTTTGCGCTGCCAGAAGTCTAGCAGATCTGCTGCGGTCTGATGGGAGAATTCATCTGCTAGACTTCTGGCAGCGCAGAGGGCGATTTTTTATTAATTTTTCGTGTCAAAAATGCAGATAAGGCCGGAGTTATTGGCGGGATTTTAGGGTAAGTTTGCTGTGTTTTGCTTATTTTCCTTTTTTAACGTCCAGAGAAAAAAATATTTTATTCCAAAAGTGAAGGTGGTCACTCTCTACCAGCTCAAAAGTGAAGGTAGGGGGAGAATCGCCTTCCATTATCGCACCTCTGGTCCGGACAAGGTGGAAGTTTTGCGATTTCGGTACCATGCAAAAGTGGGCCTTTCGAACATACCATAGTGCGAGGCCATGACATTTGATCACAATCAAATTGATCACAAGCAAGAAATATAATTGGAAAGCTGGAAAGCTAATTCTTGGGGCGAGGCTCCCCACCTGTTTGAACTCCTGCTCTACGGCAAAGTTGCGCAGGCCGCCACAGACAAAGTTGTAGGGTCCCGCAGCGACTCTGTGTCCTTAGCCTTCGGTAGCCGTCCCATTTCAAATTGTAAGGTTTTAAAAGACCCATATCCTCGCCGTTTTTTGCTCACTAGTGTAGATTTTCGAATTTAGCATAGCGGATAACCTCAGTAAATGAATTTCTTAGAAATCGAGTTCTTGCCCAGGCACTGCCCTCATCCTCCCAATTAGTTTCGACAAAGACTTCTAGGTATGAAGATTTGCTCGAACAGCCTTTTGACTTTTTTAGGTAGTAGATAGGCTTACTGTGGACGAGCGATAACGTACCATATGACCATGGTAATCAATACTAATCAATAAAAATGGCACTGCTTTTGCTCGCCATTTCCGGTTCAAACAATCATCAACTGAATCATGGTTTTGGGTCAGTCATATACCGATTTAGGCCGTGATCCGTGTATCTGGTGCGCCGCGTCCTGAGTACTGCGGGACCAACCAAAATGTTTTTACTCCTTTTGTGACGAAAAACAGCTCGGTGCGAATTAGGTAGGTTGCATATTGAATTGATCTATTGATTTTACCTAATTACAAATTGAATCAGACATTGTTTTTTCGTAATTATATAATTTTCTTTATAGTTTTTTAACGAGTCCCGACAAAGTGAATGGCCTTAAAGGCTTCAATATGAGCTGGACTGAAGTTCGGGAGGTTAACGGTAAGTGAAATTGCGTTGAAGTAGGACCCTAATTACTTTGAACATGTTTTCAGAAATGAGCGAATGTAGCGCGTCAAATGAATATATGTGCACATATAGTAAACTATGTATAAGTTCATTACTAAGATGTAATGGTGATGCAAATTGTGGATATCAGGACGACACGGATGAGACACATTGTGGGTTCGTTTAGCACAAAAATAAACACGGCGGTAAATAGCTTTTGCATAGTGGTAATGTATGTATATAAAAGGTGGGTATCTAGGCTTTTATGAAACCAAATTGAGAAGTCCAAAAAGTCAATGCACACGCAGCACTCAAGGCGATCATCTGATGCAGCATATTCATACTGCGCGCTCTAGCAAATAGACGCTCAAACTGATGTTGTACATATGACAAAGCGCACGCACATTTGTCTATTGTATGCCTCACAGACGTGATAGCCACAAAAAGTCTGAGGCTACATGGTAACGCAACCTTAGTGCCTGAATATCGCTCAGTAACTCATGCATTTATGCATAAGTGGGAATTTAATTGTTAGCGTGAGAGAAATTGTTGTGTCCTTGACTGAAAAGACAGCTGGGCCGGTAGTAATCCCCCCGACCTGGCGGCAGGTCTCGTCGGCAGGTTGCTGGCACCTTTCCGCGAGGTGGCCAGAAACTAAGAACCGAAATTTAGGCCGTCCCAGGCCTTTTTTCAAAAAATTTTCTCGATAAAGTTGCCGCCTCGACTCTGTAGAAAACTTCATAAAAATCTGCGGCTCCAGAACTCCTCCTTTAGCAAAATATCTGGAATTCCAGGAGGAGCTGCCGGCAACTTCGCGATGTCAGTTGCCGGCAACCTGCCGGCAGGTTGCCGGAATCCGCGAGATGGCAGCTGCCGGCAGGTCAGAGAGCACGGGAAATAGCGTGCTCTTTTGAGAGAGCGAGCTGCCGGCATCTCGACGTGCCCCTACCACGTCGAGGTGGTGGCACCTTTGCCGACGGCGTCTGCGAGTTTGCGAATTGCGGCGATATCACACAATTTACGTCAGGCGAAAAAATCAAAAATTCTACTTTTCATGAAAAAACTATCATTTTTCTCATAATATGGGTTTTTCTTTTTTAAAATGACGATTTTCTTACAGGGAAAAAATCCACTAATGCCTTAGAATCATATAGAACACGAACTGTTTTGGCAATCCCTTATAAATCTCAGTTTGCACCGATTTCGCCCCTATCTCGCTCATATCAATCAGCTGTTCTTTCAGGTCAAAGTCTCTCACGCAATGTATCGATCCCTCCTACAGGCAGCCATTTACCAGCGCGTTCCTCCTATTGCTGGTGCAAACGGCAATCGCTGACCGAATGGTCGAATGGTTAACGTGGTGGCACTTCAAGTTAACGCACATAGGTTCGAACGCGCGGGAGATAGCAGTTTTGCGGCTGTCTGCGTCATCAAAATTTAGTGTGCGAAATGATGGCGTGCTAAGGTTACATAAGATTATTAAATCCTACAATCACTCCGCGAGCTGCCGGCGGAGTTGGCATCTTTCCGCGATGTGTGCCAACTTGCCGGCATCTTTGATGCCACCAGGTAGGGTAGATTACTACCGGCCCTGGTATGTACTGCGTAGAAGATATGGCTGCATCACAACAGTTTGCACAGAATGCACGATTTAAAAAGAGCTTACTTAATTAGTGCTACTCTTTATCGAGTTTCTTGGTCGGTGAAAATTGCAACGAGAGCTACACTGTTTATTCGACACAAGTGACTTGTAAGAGTTTGGTAAGGCTTCATTTTTATGTTCGGCTCCAAGATTCTGAAGAGGCGGGTTGCGAACTTTCCTTGATAGGATAGCTTGTTGAACCTCCACGTTATAGCATGGTTTTTGGTACTCTCTTGCTATCAAAAACCGTCACGCTTTGAGCTGTCGCGACTCCACCTCTGCACGAATCATTGAGCCAATGGAAGTAAAGGCTTCGATTGATAAATTGACAGAAGTTCTCAGCGACCCACAAAAAGTAACTTATAAGAAGCCGCGGATTTGAAAACGTATGTGTGGGAAGTTGCAACTCAGCTGGCTCACTTAAAGATTTGAAACAAAAAAAAAACAAAACGGAACAGAAATTACTTCTTGGAAGCATGCATTACAAACCTTGAGTTTATATGTGTATAGTCTATCTTAATTCATGTTTTACGCCCAGTGCCGTATTTTGTGTTTGGATATGGTACTGAGCTCAACTTTAAAATTACATTTTTTGGTCATCAATGAATCATATGATCTGTAAATTTTCTTTATTAAATACCAATGACTTTATAAAAACCTTCCAGTTATAATCACATGAGGAGCCCTGTGATCCACACTTGTTTAAATAGTGCATTGAGGCTGTGTAAAAAATTCACTATTTTTGTATTATTTTTTTATTTGCCTGTGTTAGAAAAATTTACGATAATGAGCTTTGTCTGTTGTCAGCTTGAAGTCAGAATATTTGTTATGTTGCCATCTTTGGCATTTAGTCAGTTGTTGCGCTTGTCAGTGCACAAGTGTGTTTTGCTTACGAGGAAATGGTCGAACTCGACCCAGCCGTTCCAAACAAGCTCTATATCATCGGACTCATAACAAAATGCTGTTTTCGAGTATATGTTTTTTGTTTACCAAGCGACTATCTGGAAGGAGTTATAAGCGTTCTAATAAGAGAAGTTTTTTGAGTTTTGACGAATATATTTCCCTAAAAGGCAGCCTAAGGCAGATCTACGGTGGCTATGGGTTATTTTAAGTACAAGAAAGAATTACATTCAACAAAAACCTAATTAAGTTTTTTTGAAACCTATTTCGTGGACATGCGCCACAGAACACTTGACAAATCGCACATTCAAACTCTCAGAACTCCTCACAGATAATCGCTTGGCAGACAATAAACATATATTTGCGATCAGCCTTTCAAGACAAGTTCGATGATATACAGCACGTTTGGTATAGCTGGGTTAGGTTCTGACCATTTCTTGCTTAGCTTATCTGTGAGTTGCAGCAATATTCACCGATACACAGACCATGCTTACCTATGTTTAGCCATTGATATCTGCTTGATAACCTGCATGTTCTTTTGAGGTGCACAATCGTCGGCCTTCGTCTCGCTTTTGTCAACCATGTCGTCTGTTTATCTGCTAAACATCATCATCTATGGCTTATTGCAGTGTTGAGTGTACGTCCATTAAATTGCCGTGTGAGTAATGCTTATTGATTAAGGGTTGCTGATATAGGTGTTGCTTTGTGCCTTAGTCAAAATGTGATTATGAATTCACATTGCATACTGTTCAAGTGCAGTAGAAAAAATTTTTTTGAGACAGTGATTATCGCTAAAATTTTTCTATTGATTATGTTGCTTTTTAGCCACCTTACAATAGTTTTGCTATATTTCCTGAGCCTAACTATTTACATGGAGAAAATAAGCTGCATATCATAACGTCATTCCCTTCCGCCCTCCCCCACCAAGGCAAATGCGTATGCCATTAGGAAGCAATCGCTTTTGGAACTATCATATTGAATAAGGTTTTCACTGGGGATAGAAGATGCAACATAAGTCTCGCTGGCATGTAGTTCTGTGGAGTTTTCACTTTTTAGCAAGTTTCCTCGTGGATTTTCCAGGATGTGGCTTACCTTTAAGCACCGTATGTTATTCTAGCATGTCAGTCATATTCAGCTAAGAAACACTTGTAAGGTAAATAGTCTCCTCTAACACCAGCGTCTGCTCCTCTTATATAAGTGCTCCCTCTCACTGACCCGCAAGATTTGTCAGTATACTTGGAAGATGTTTGCTCGATAACTACTTACTTTGGAGCAGGTAGCAAGCAAAATGACATGTTTTTTTCTGATTTGTGCTCTGAAAATCTTTCACCTCCTCTTAATCGCAGCCTTGTGAGAAATTGGCCCGCATTAAACTCCTGCTCAGCACTACTCGGTTGGGGGCGGGGCGTACCTATGTCGAACGTAGGACGCCTCTGTCGGGCATATAGTGACTATCGATCTGTATGTGAACCACCTTTTGGATAACAATCATGTACGTTTTTGAAAACGCAATCACTCAGATAATCGCCGAGGGGCAGGCGGAGCGCAAACTCGCGCCTTCTTGCAAGCGGTCAGCATAATTTTGGGGCGTGGCCAAACCTTTAACGGTACTTCCTTTACTGTAGCATGTAGTGCAGGCGGGCACCAACACAGACTTCTCTGCAAGCGCTCGTCAAAACATTTCTTCCAGCGAGCGCGGGCCAAACTTTCAGCTGGCGCTCAGACTCTTCTTACGCAGTTTTGGGCTTACGCCGAGCAAAGATAAGACTTTATGTAACGAAGGTGTCATCGATGGGTCAATTACACGAATTTGGAATTTTCTGTCAGCGGAAAGTACCTATGGGCTGTGCGGTCCTTCACAAAGGGCAGTGTGGCCCCCAACAATTTTGCATATTCTCGCGGAAAATCGAGAATGCGGCCACTGCGCCGCATCTAATCTGTGAGATAGTAGCGGTTATTTTCTGAGCGTTCCTTAAAACTGGCCCACAATCTTCCAAATATCCGCAAGCGGTTCGCAAGGAATCAGCGAACCATTTTTCCGGTACCCGCCTGCTTATAAATCGCAAAGCCACCTACCTCCGCGATTCTCTGAACACGTGGGGCGGTTTGGTGAAAGCGCTAAGCAGGTGGAAATCAACGCGCAATGCCGTGGTTCGAGATCCGTTAGACTAGCATTTTTTGCTGCGCTGCCGAGCAATCTTTGATAGCGGCCATTATCGAAAAGTCGATGATGACCGTCATCACAGATTTCGCTTAGCAAACGAACGGACACGACAAATTCACAATATTTCGATGCATAGCGGCAAAAAGTTACAATTTTCGGAAAATGAAAAAAAGGTAAATTTGAGTCCTTCTCATTTTAGGCGTTTTCCTGAAAAAAAAACAATAACAACATCGTCTATAAGAAAGATATGGAAAAGCAATCAGCTCTCTATTGGTCCTTTCCCGTTTAAGCCCCCAACATTATGCAGTTTTGAGGGTTTTGCACTGCAACAATACGTCATTTGAATTGTTCCATAAGTTATTCACGAGCAACTTGCGAGAATTTTGTTTGATTTTCCCCTTTCGCACACTATCCCCCTCGATTTACCCTAGGGCCTACCTCAGCTATGTGGCATTCTGCTAACTGACTGTGACACTTCCCCAGACAGTCTTTTGACCGTTCAACTGACTATCTTAAAGCATGGAAGATGGGCGGTATTAAGTTTAACCTACGATGAATGGGAGTTTACTACGAGCCATTATCTCAAATCAAGGACTAACCACTGAAGCTTGATACCTGTAACAAGCCATCACTTACGTAGCTTTGTGTAGAATGTAGCGTTGTGAAATACTGAAATAGCAAGGAGTCCACGTCGTGTTTTATTTGTTTGTTTTATGTTTTTTCAAAATGTTTGAGTCAGCAGTATATAAACCTAGGAAGAAAAGATACTTTTACGCTAAAAGGGCTTTTGAAATGTGTCAATATTAAAGTTTACAGCCTGAGACCCGATTAAAAAAGAATCCAATTTCTGCTGGACGCTCTAGTGGTGGGGTTTTTGAGGTGACGTCAAATGCAGGAAGGGCTGGAAATAACTCATGTTTTTATAGCGCTCTCAAAGGAGCAGTCGTCTGCACATATTAGAAGAATTCTAATGCTTGATCGGTTTGTCATCACATAGCATCGATCCACTTAGGCATTAGACGCTTATCCAACAATGCTAGATGAATTTCAAATTTTGGTTCAGTGGATGTAGATGTTCAGTAGATAGCCAATGGATTTAGTGGTTATGACAATAGATTGTGGGCACTGGTGCTACCAGCACGGATATTAGATTGTGGCCACTAGTGTTACCAGCACGGATATACTGGTTATTAAAGGAACTTCCCTTGTTGGACGCCTTGGACAGCGAAAAAAAACTCTATCAGGTGTGTCGCCGAAAGGGAGGTCCCAGGCGGACATCTATAACAAAAGTGTACCCATCACGCACGCAAGAGGCGCTAATTGTTGCAAATGATGCGCGAGACCTCTCTTATCGATGACAGATAGTCCTTCACTTTTGAAAAACATAAATGCATTGGTTTAGCGTTCTTCCATCAATTATGTATGTATTCAGGTGCACGCAAGGAAAGCACAACTGACAAAACCATAGTTATAGCTGGTGTTTTCTGTGGCGCCATATTCTTGTTTATCTGCATTTTCTTCTGTTATCTGTTCAAATCGAAACTGGAACGTAAAAAGAAGCGGCAACGAAGTCATGGTTCTCATCATCGCCATCGGCAACCTTACCGATCACAGAAGCCAGTCGGAAAGTCGATAGCTGATTCGTGAGTTTTATCCGAAATCTTCATGCATGAACAAGGTGCGTCAGCCTGGGGTAAAGTGGCTCGTATGGTGCATCGAGGCTTATACCACGTTAATCACTGTTTAAGATAAATCAATCCTGAGAGTTTCCTTTATGCATTGTCTCGTCAACCGGTTTAAGTAGTTCTTATAGTAACACTTCGTAAAGCTAATAAGGAAAGCTACCTAAATTAGCTCGGCTTCGGTAAAAGGCACATAGAGTCAGCTTCAAACGCTGATTTCTATGCTATTTCTAGCTGCCACGCACCATTTCAAAGCGAGTTACGGGCTTTTTCCTACGCAAAATTGGCATATTACTGAACATGAGAAGACTGCCTGTAGATAAAAATCTGCAAGAAAAAGGTGCTGAGGTATCGAAACAGTACAAATCTGATCTTTCCTCACTAAAAAAAGCTTAACGCAGGTGTATGAGCACTCAAATGATAATGACGTGATGCCCGATGAGCATGCCAATTTTTCGCAGGAAAAAGCCTATAACTCGCTTCGCAATGGTGCATGGCAGCTAGATATAGCATATTTGGAATCAGCGTTTGAAATTCAGACTATATATGTCCCTTTCCAAAAGGCCGTAGGTTAGGTAGCTTTCCTTGTAAGTAAATGCTGCAATTGAATGATGAGCCGCTTTGTCTGTAATGTTTCACTGATGTTATGGAGATGCTGTAAGCGATCGACTTAGCAGAAGAGAGAGGTTCAATGCCTAGAAGAGAGAGGTCAATGCCTACGAATAGGCTAAAAAGCTGAAAGCGAAAATTTTTATCTGGACACTGATTACAGTAGCAGGGCGTATTAGGTTGTCATAAAAAACATGGTGTTCATTTGCTAGTTATATCACCGCAAGCACAATTCATCAAGCATAAGAAATCTGTTTGATAGTGCAAAGCAAGCTCTAAGCCGGCTATCATTTAAGACGATCTAAGGGAAGTTTGCCAAATTTTAAATAGTTTTGAATGCTTGAAAATCGAAAAGAAATTAGATTTCATTTTGTAAAATCCTTCGAATCTCACACTCGTGCACATCTATACTTCCGACAAACATCCATATGTGTAGTAGTTGTGCTTTTTTCTTGACTAGAAACGGAGCAGGCAAGTTTTCTTGTCTTTCCCAAAGCAATGCTGGTTCATTCACATAAGTTCAAATGCCTTTGTGAGTGTAAGTGTTGATTTTAGCCTATTCCAAGCGCATACTTTCCAAGAAATAATGATCTTAACACAAAAACACAAACGCTAAATTTGACATTCCTCAAAGCTCTCGAAAAGGTCACAGTTTTACAGTTTCGCCTACAAAGACCTGTAATATAAAATTACTCATGGAAGAACGGGTGGTTAGCAACGCGTGGAAAAAACGCAAAAATTTTCATTGTCCCAGTTTCTAGTGAATAAAAAAGTTTACTTACGGTACATATGAATGTGTGATGTTGAAAGCATGGACATATACGAGTGTGAGGACCGTAGTAACCATTTTTTTTCGTTTTCAAATCCAAAACATTCTAGTTTTTAGTTAGTTTCGAACTTTTCGTAGCAAGCTTGGCGCGAAAGCAGAAATGCCAGCGCGTAGAGCTTACCTCGCTCTATCGAAAAATACCCTCTATGCGTGTGCTTGGTTGCGATGCTAGAGCAAGCAGATAAAAGGCACCATTACTTCCTTGGCAACATAAAGTATTTTCGAGCTAACAAGAGAAGCATGTCTGGTCGAAGTGGCCTTTTGGATGGGATGTCTTATTGAAGCCAGAAATTACATGTGCAAGTAGGACAAAAATTGTCATAGTATACTTTCTAGCGCTTTAATGGAGCAGTGGTAAATATCAGTGGACCTTACTTACTAATGAATACTCTTACAAGCAAACGATCCCAATTTAAGGTGGCAAATTGGAATGCCGCATATCATCAGATGTGTCTTGATCTTACTTTCCATATCTGCGATGCTTCTCTAAAAGCAGTCATGAGCTCTTAAATGCATGCATAATTACATGACTTGCATGATTTTGGGTGTATTGATTTTAAGGAGGGTTCACATTGAAGGCAGTGGCTCGGCAAATCTCAACCGAGTCAAATTTGCGCTTACCTGGGGTTTTTCAATACGCTGATCCCGAAAATCCACTTTTGAAAGCTTGAAAACGGCGAAAATGAGCGTTTTTCAATGCCCTTCCCTTTGATATTGGACGAGTGGAGCAGGACCGATGACGCTAAATCGCGGCAGCCTCCAATGGTGAGAAGGGGCCAGCTCGTCCAGATGCGTGTAAGATTAGCCTGCGCGTGTAAGTTTGAGAGCGATTTCTCAGCAGGGAAAGCATCAGGGATTACACTGTTTTCATAGTTGGGCGGTAAGGAACCTACCGCGTTGAAATTTGTTGGATTTTGAATTATTGGATCGACTGCCTTTAAACGGAAACAAAATAAGTGCTGTTGGGTTAATAGTTCTGGAGGTATGACGCTGTAAACTGCCAATTTTGGAGTTTTCATTGCTCACAGTTTTTTCAAAGAACTTCGGTCATTTCTTAGTTGTTCAATATCTATTTGTAGTTCCTTTACTTGTGAGTATTCCTTGAAATTAGTACACTCCATGTCATGCTAGTCTTGCACTCTCAAGTTGATCTCAAGCACATTATGCATTCAAAACCGTCATGACTTCATATTTTTAACAGCACAACTTTTCCCAAAGGAAAGCATCACAGATATGGAAAGTAGATTTGAAGTCAGCTCATAATGGCGCTTTTAATAATATGCGGTTCATTCCCGTTCGCCACCATAAGTTGGGATCGTTCCCTTGTTAGATAAAAACTATATTTTACTGGTTGCTTTATTTGAGGGCTAGGAAAATCTCAACAACTCACTTCATGCTCAATGCAAATTCACTTTTTGCTGCAACAAAAGCTCATAACTTTTCGTCCATAGATGTTCCGCAGATAAGAAAGAGAAAGACAGAATTGGAGTTAGGCTACTTCGACTAAATATGCTTCCCTTGTTAGAGGAGTAGAAAACCTTTCTTCGAAAGTGTCACCCTCGGCTGGTGCATACTTGCACTTAAAGGACGTACAGAATAGTCAGCTTTATTGTGAGAAAAAAATCATTGTTATCTCGAATAAGCGACTATATCTTAGTTTAATATCAAGGAATGTTGATACCATGCAGTGAAAGTATTGGTAAACACTTAAGCTGGTGATTTTGCAGCGAACTTCCCTCTCCGGCAACATCACGATTTGTTCATCATGATGCGACTGGTATATTGCCTCCAATCACGCTTCACACCATCCCCGACGAGGAGCAAACATTTTATGGATAGATTTTTGAAATCCATAGCAATCCTGTCTTCTCCTACATATTCGTTACAGTTCGGGTTGTGTCTCAAATTTTTGGAAAAGTTGTATAAGTGAATTCCTATCATAATCTCTGTTTTGAAAGGATACCGCTAATCCCCTATGTCCATGGCGTTTATGATGCTACATTATTTTTTTGTGCGAGGAATTTACTTCAAAGCTCAGGATAAAGTTCTGCATTCTTTTCACCCGAATTTCTCACGTAAAACTGGCAGTGAAGTCGAACGAAAATGAGTAGAAGCAAAAAGCTGTCTTTGATGAACCGAACTGATAGACATGATTGAAATTTTTAAGTCTAGTAACAATGGAGCCGCTTATCAACAGTAGCTCGGGGAGCCGAGGTAGGCGGCCATGCGATTTACAGGCAAACAACCGCCGGAAAAATAGAACTGGTACTTTTCACTTTTCAGAAAAAGTACGGGCCTCTTAAAACCCAATTGCCCACGCGTCGTTTTGAACATCAACGCGCGGAGCGGCTGGAAACGTTGGTCCCGAAGCGCTACAGGCTTTTTTCGAGCGACAATAGGCGCGCACCCTTTCCACACATATTTTTTTAACACGTTGACGACAGTGCCGCGCAATGGTGCGCGGCAGGCAGTCTGTCCCTGTGGACGACGCCGCGCAATGGTGCGCGGCGGCCTTAAATTCAATACTATCTGTCCAATCCTCTCAGTTTTCGTTCACATAATCAACATAGGCTCAGATGTACTTCATGCATTAGCCCCGCCCCTTTTGGCAATCCGCCCACTCCTACGCCTCTCACAAGGACCCTTTTTTGTCCATAAAAAGCATGGATGAGGTGTAGGTGAAGCAAAGACCTCAAACAACTTTTAGAAAGGCCCCGCCCACAGTCAGGCAAAACCCGCCCCCTAAGTGGCAAGCTCCGCCCACTTTTCAAAAGTGGCGGAAATCGCATAAATACTTGAAATTTGGGCAATTTCCGACATTTTTGGTCGAGTGGCCGGAGCTTGCCAGAGGGGGCGGGCCTTGCACATTTTGTACTTCGTGCATGGGTGCATGCATACATACATGGGCCACGCGTAGGGATGCATGGAGAGGTCTCGTCCACAGGGACAGGCCTCAAAAAATGGCTCGTCGTCAACGCGTTAAGTTTTGAAGGGAGCCTCCGTCGAGACATACCTTGCATTGACGAGAACAACATGAAAGTTAAAGATTTTTTGGAATATAGTGAACGCCGACAGTCGTTGGCGACGACCGGTCTCTTACGCTGGGTGTTCAAGGCACGCGCGGGCAATAAGGTTTTACGGCGCTTATACCACGTGTAACTAAACCAATGATGGCACCTCTGCTACCCGAACTGTACATACCTTTGCTCGACGTACGCCCGAAACTGCGTAACAAGAGTCAGGGCATTCGCTGAAAGTTGGCCAGTGTTTGCTGAAAAAATCATTAGATGAACGCTCGCAGAAAATTCTGTGTTGCTGCCCGCTGACAGAACATGCGCCATTGAAGGAAGTACAGTTAGCTGAAGGTCTGGTGCTAATTGCTTGTACGAAAGCGTGATAGGCTTAAGACATACCACCAGCGATCTTATCAAATCACTGAAACTCCGCGACAGGGCATTCTGCCAATACGAATTTACCCTGCGCAACTCTTATGCAAAGGCCCATAGCTTTTATGCTGTCACAATCGCACTCAGCAGAACGCTGTTACGCCCAGTGAATAAGAGTCGTTGGCTACCGAATCGTGCAGCAATTAAAATCGCATACGGTATGCCTTGGGCTTTAGAGACAGCCGCAGTTTTGGCTACAATGGAACCAATTCAGAACCATTAGACGCCCGCTTTATGGTCATCGCCAAAGGAATGGCATCCTGCTAGTAAATGACGTATAGGCTGAATGAAGGGACGGTCGAACACGACATCGTGCGCATAGACCGATGACGTTTCTTGTCTAAGGCCCCGGGCATACTTTACGCGATTTTAGTCGCATGCGGTTTCGTAATTCAGTAATAATCATCGTAGGCTTGTTCTGAATGTACAGAATATAAATATTACTACGAGAGTTATCACCATACATTTCTATAGTCTGCAAGTGTTCAATTTGATAACATCTGGCAAATTGCCAGATTGAGTGGCCATGGCTCGGCACGAGGTGGCTAGATGAAAATGCAAAAAACGAAGTCCACCTTGACTTTTGGGAATTTTTACGAAGTCCTCTTTGACCCTCAACCATATTTCCTCTAAAAACCTAAAAAAATCTCCAAAAAACGAAACTTCGACTAAAAAGACCTTGCCAATTTTGCTTGTGTCTTCGGCCACAAAAACGAAACCCCCTTTGCTTTTATCCTCAAAAACGATATCCAGCTTGCTTGTAAGCCACCTGTGCCAAGCACATGTGATTGGCGACTAAACTGCTACCGCTCTGGGTATGCAATGGTCTTTAAGACTTTACTGTCTCAGAAATTCTTCCGAATTTGACCTTTCCCAATTACGTTCACACTATAAATCTCAACAAAAATTCTCTAGAGAACTGCGATTTTGGGTATTTGTGCTGAAAATTTATGGTGGGTCTTTGTTGCCTGTCGTGAGGGTAATGTCCTCTTTGGACGCTCGAAAAGGAATTGCAGTCTGTATCAGTCAGCCTACAAACTCGAACTGTCTTCCAAATGCTTCTTTCGACTTTTTTCAAAACCTCCAACCGCCGCGTATCTTTTTCTGATTCCAACAATATTTGTACAAAGCTTTGCAAAAATGCATATTGCATATTTGTAACATGCTTCTTATTTTTTTTGTCAATAAGACGATTCTGGTTCTAAAAATTTATTAATTTAATTTTTTCTCTACTTTTCTTATAAAGAAAAACTGCTGACCTTGATTTTCTTGGCTCTTTGGGTAGCCTATCCGCATGCACTCTTTGCATTAAGCAGTCAGTGAATAAAAATGCATGACCACGGCGTTATCAACGAAGACGTTTTCTTAGGGCAGGCGCTATACTCCTCGGGCGGTATAGCATGGCGACGGGCGATCGCCAGTCGCTAAAGTTGGCGACTGCACATTAGATAGCTATCGATTGCTCAAGAGTTTACATGTCCAATCAATACCTACCTATCTGTAATCGCTAAAACTGGCGATCGCTAATCGCTACTACTGGCAATCGCAAATAGCTACGATTGGTGATCGCCAGTTTTCGACGACTGCACATTTGATATGTTTCGATTTGACGTGTGGTAACTTGTTTGCAATCAATAGGTATGTAAAATACAGTCGCCGATATTTTTGATTGGCGATCGCCAGTCGCCGATATCGCGACAAAAATCGCCGGTTTTGCACGTATTTGATGCGTATCCATCGTCGCCATGCAATACTCCTCGAGGAGTATAGCAGCTGCCTAACTTCACAGCCAAATCAATGGAAACGACGATGGGATGAGAAAAAACAGCAAACCTTTGAAATGTTGTTTTTTCAAGTGTTTTCTTCTTTGCAGGCATGTGTTCACTTTGTATTATGTCCTTTGCCAAACAAGTTAAGGACAATCAATACCAACTAACATTTCAACGATGTCATCTCCTATAGAAGCTGGAAGGAGAATGCGATTTCTTATCTGTCTACAAGATAAACGCATATTCTGTTTTACACCGTTTAGACCCCATTCAGTGGCCTGCACTATTGCGAGGAACATCAATGAGAAACGCTCAATGAGTAGAGCAATATATACAGAATGTCCCAAAACTCTTGTACCCCGATTTTGCATAATCATAACTCAAAAATTGCTGGTAATTTCCAGAACGCTGCAATCATTCTCTACAAAGCACACTTTGCATATTTAACTTGGTTTTCATGTGTGTTTGAGTAAATACTTACTTACTTACTTAGATACTTAGATGGCCCGGCTTCACGTGACGTGCGGGCCCCAGCTCAGAAGATTCCATTTCTCCCTGTCCCTCGCTTCAGACATCCACGATCTTTTTGGCTGACGCCGGTGGCTGCGTTCACGAGTTCCAGGTGCAAAAATCGTATCCAGCTGATCTCTCAGCTGGTCCATCCGTTCCACGAACACGTCTGCCCATCTCGTCGGTGGTCTTCCTCGAGGACGTTTGGCTTCGCGAGGAATCCACTCCGAAGTTCTTAGTGTCCATTTGTCGTCTGTTCTCATAATGTGACCGGCCCATCGATGCTTCGCTTCCACAACGTAATCCGCTGGGTTACGAAGACGGGACATTATCCTCATATCCGTACTGCGAAGTCCGACGAGATGTTGTTTGTGTCGGGTCATCTTCAGAAGACTACGCTCTAGCGCTCTGTGGGTGGTCTTCAAAGCTTTCGAAGTGGCGACGGTGTCAACCCAAGTCTCAGCTGCGTAACAGAGCGCCGGGAGAACGGTTGAGTCGAACAGGTGGGCACGAAGCTCCGGGTCCGTCAATTGGTCGGTGGCTTTCTTCAGAGGCCCAAAGGCGGCCCAGGCTGCTCTTCTTCTCCTGTTAAGTTCTTCCCTCAAGTCGTTCTCCATGTTCATCGAACGTCCATACACGTAAGAAGACGTCTCCGTGATGTGCCTTCCAATTCCATTTCTGCATCTTCGCAAAGGGCGTTCTCCATGCACTGAGTCTTCTTCCGATTGATTCGCAATCCGATCTTCTTCCCTATTTCGTTCAGTTCCTTCAGCATCGTCTCTGCTTCATTGATATTGCTCGAAAAGAAAACGATGTCGTCCGCAAAACGAAGGTTCGACAGGAATCTCCCATCAACTCGTATGCCTATCTCGTCCCAGTCCAGTGACTTCATCACCCACTGCAAGGCCGCGGTGAACAGCTTCGGCGAAATTCTGTCGCCCTGTCGGACCTCCTTCCCAATTGGGACGGTCAGGGGGCGATGGAACAGCTGCATCGTCGTTGTACAGTCCTTGTAACAGTCGGCTAACGTCCTCACGTAAGGTGGGTCCACTCCTTGATCGATTAGCGCAGACAGGATGGCCTTGGTTTCGACGCTGTCAAAGGCTTTCTCGTAGTCGACAAAGGTTAGGACGAGAGGCAGTCGGTATTTCCGGCAGACTTCTATAACCCTCGAAACCGTCTGGATGTGGTCCATGCAGCTAAATTCTTTGCGAAATTCAGCTTGTTCTTGGGGTTGGGCTTCATCCAGTGTCCTAGATATGCGAGCGAGGATAATCTTCGTGAAAAGCTTGTACAGCACACTCAGCAGGCATATTGGACGGTAGTTTCGAAGATCTTCCCGTTCACCCTTCTTGAAAAGA